CTCCCTCCTCAGGCACCACGGCACCGTCAGCGACCTGGACATCGGCACGGAGGTGAAGCTGCTGAAGCACCAGCGAAACGAGTACAAGATGAAGGTGGGCGTGCACCAGGCGGCGGTCATCTGCAAGAACAAGAGGGAGGGCAAGCAGCGGGCGGCGCAGTCGATTCTCCAGAAGATGCACACCCACCTCAGCAGCTGGGGCGCCCTGCTGAAGCTCTACGGACGGGGCTCCTGTAAGACGCCCAAGGAGAAGAGGGTAAGGGGGAGGGGGGGGCTTTGGTGGGGGGAGAGGAAAGAAAGGGTTTTCGTAAATCTAAACCTAAATTTTTATTTATCATTTTGTTCATAGGAGGAGGCGCAGCAGATCACCGAGCTGCAGAGCATGGCCTGCTCCAACCAGCCCAACTTTAAGATTCTGGAGAAGCTGCGCGAGGAGATGCTCAAGCTGAGGCAGCGGCCGCCGCCGGTTTGTTTACATTCTTTTTTGAGTGTCGATTTTCTGATTTTACAATTTGCTTTCTTTTCTTTTCTGTTGCAGAGCCTTCCGCCCACTCCCATCAACAGCATTCAGCTGCCGAGCATCATCACCTCAATATCATCCACTGCTAATGGGTCGGAATTGGGTGCAAGGGTGTCACCGTCACCACCACCACCACCACCACCACCACCACCGCAGGCCACAACTTTGAACACCACGACCACAACCACCACCACCACCACCACCATCACCGCCTCTTACACGGGCATCTCATCGCTGACATCGACGCTGACGTTGCCGTCCTAATCTCTCTTTTTCTCTCGCTCACTTGGTCCTGGCAACCACTCTTTTGGTTGCTGGGAGGTGGTGGTGATGAGAGAGAGAGAGAGAGAGAGAGAGAGAGTGCACCAAGAGTCGATAAGTCTGCAAATCACATTGTCGCACTATTTCTTTCTCCTTTGTCTCATCCTGCGGCGGAATGTACTGCTGCAGCAGGTGATATCATTGCTGCAGCCACAGGAGATCCTGCCTCACCACCAGCACCAGCATCCTGGTGGCTGTCAACAGACAGACAGTCAGAGACAAAAAGAATAAAAGAAAGAAAGGCACACTTCCCTCAACACTCACTCACTCACTCACAGACTAACGATAATAAAATGAAGTATATAAAAAAGCCAGGCAGGAAATCANACACCACCAGCATCCTGGCTGTCAACAGACAGACAGTCAAAGACAAAAAGAAAGAAAGAAAGAAAGGCACACTTCCCTCAACACTCACTCACTCACTCACAGACTAACGATAATAAAATGAAGTATATAAAAAAGCCAGGCAGGAAATCATCACTACCACCACCACCGCCGTTACCAGTGGCCTCCATTCACACTGCACACAGGCAGGCAGGCAGACAGGCAGTTGGGGTGCGCCAGTGGTGAGAACGATTCAGCTCACAACACAACAAAAGGTGGTGGTAACGGTCAGGACAAGGTGGACCTGGTCCAAAGATTCTGGTGGATTCAGTGATTGAGGGGCTGCCCGAGAGAGGTGAGCAGAACAAGTCAGTCAGTTCGACATTTGGAATCGCCGGGTAAGTCAGTGGTGGTGGTGGCCACTGATCACCTCCTCACCTCCTCACACCATCATCGATAGCCTGGCCACCACCATCGCGGACAGCAACGGCAGCAGCAGCAGGCTAAGCAACTCGCCCAAGCTAGCGCAGAGAGAGAGAGAGCAAAGCTGTGGCTGTGTTTCCATTGTTTGCCTTGCAAAATAGGCTGCCGCTGCCACTGGCTGACGACAGCAGCAGCAGCGTTCCCGGCACTCTGCCTCCATTGGCACTGCATTGCCACTTTTCTCTTCTTCTTTCTCTTTCTTGTCCTCCTCTTGCCTGCTGCTGCTGCTTCTTCTTCTTCTTACTCTTTTAGTCCACTCTCTTTCTTGAAGCTGTTGCTTCTTACTGGCAGCGTCGGCGTCTTCAGCATCAGTGGCAGTGGCAGTGTCAGTCAGTCAGTCAGTCTGCTCTCCCCTCCTCGGAAAAGGTATCCCAGCAGCAGCGGCAGCAGCAGCAGCAATCGGCGTCGTCGGCGTCATCGGCACTTTGCTCTTTCCTTTGGCGCTTCGCATCGCCCTCATCCCACTCCCACTTCTACTACTTCTTCTTCTACTGATTACTACTACCAGCAGAGAAGTAGTGTACGGGTGTGTGTGTGTGTGTGTGTGTGTGTGTGATAGTTGTTGATAGTCCCACTCCCGATTTGGATTTAGAGAATCGCTGTTGGCTGAGAAGGGAAGAGAAGAGAAGATTGCAACACCCGCCGCCGCAACTTTTGCTTCTACTTCTAACGCCGCCGCCGCCGTCGTCGGTTATTCCGGCCTTCTTGGTTTTCATTCCCTCTCTTTTCCTTTCATTCTCGCCCCTCACCTAAACCCAATCTCGGCGTCAGCAGCAGCAGCATTGGCCGATTTTGACGTTTGCCGCTCCACCACCGCCGCCGCCGCCGCCGCCAGTTTTTGTTGCCTCTACACTCTTAGCAGCAGATAGAGCTTAGGCAGAGCGCCGATTTCTATTTTGTTGTTTGTGTGTTCTGTTCTGTTCTGTTCTGTTGTGTGTTCTGTTGGCTGTCCGCTGTTGGCGGTGTGTTCTACTGCCTGGCTCGTTGTCTTTATCTGGGCAGCAGCAGCAGCAGCCTATTTGCCCATTATCATCGTTTCTCTCTCCGCACTGAACAACAATACGACCACGACCACCGCCGTCTTCTGCTATCATCATCGACAGGCCAAGTGAAGAGGACAACTCGGCAGTTTTGCCGCCGCCGCCGCCGCCGTCTTCTATTTGTGTACTCCTCGATACTGCGCCCACCGCCGCCGCCAATATTGGCTTCCGATTTGCCTTTATCATCGACTAGGCAGCAACAGCAGCAGCAGCAGCAGCAGCACTACCACTTCCCATCAGGTCGATTACATTGCCTTGCAGTTTAGTGTACTGCTGCTATTACTTCTTCTTCTACCATCATCATCCTCATCATCATCATCACCACTGCTACCACCGGCACATTTCTGAGCACCTCTAGCACACACACACAGCTCTATCACCACCACCACCGCCACGAGTGATTGTGATTTAGAACAACAGAGAGGGTGTCGCCCGTGTTGCCGTCGTGGTCTCTCATAGCCCGCTCTCCTATCCTTTTTTTCTGCTGAAATTCAGAAGTTGTTGCTGTTGTGGTTTGATTGAATGGAACAATTTCAGCAAAGTTCTAAAACAACAACATCATCATCACCTCAAAGCTCGAAGGTCCTCCTTCTTCTTCTTCTTCAGCTGTGTTTGTTGTTATTGTTGTCATAAAAGGGGTGCTTTTGTCTGTTGACCAGCACTTGAAATCTGAGTCAGTCGATTCGTTCATTCATTCATCCTCCGTTTTGTGAATGTCAATTCCCCGGCGACCGACTGTAGTCACCTCCGTTCACCTCCTTTCACCTTACCTCAAATAATCACCACCTCCACCACCAAACACCAAGGTACAATGTTCCGTCACTTCTTGCTTACATAACCAGGACCTCTCTTGCTCTTGAAGAGCACCTTTTGTCTTCCTCCTCGCTGTCGTCTTAGCTTCCAGCCTTAGCTTAAGTAGTTTAAGTTTAATTATCTCCCCTCTTTCTTTCTCTTTCTCCCTGCTTCCACTTCTTGTTCTTGTTCTTCTTGTTCTTTAATATGTTATTGCCAAATCACACGCAATATTCGCCGGCAGAAGGAGACGCTCTGCTCTTTCCTTTCCTTTCCTTTCTTCCCTCTCCTAGCCCTGCTCCCTTTCTTTTGGAGCCGAACCAAGCTGCCTTCACCGAGATTTGAGGTGCTGCTGCTGCCGTTCTTGCTCCTTTGGGTTTAAAATACAAATCTTCACTCTTAGCTTAGCTTCCCCTCCTCCTCTTTCTTCTTCTTCTTCTTCTCCCGAGACCAACCACTGTCTTGTGTTGTGCCGCTATCGTTGTCGACGATCGAATCTAACTTACTTACGAGTAGTCTGCTGTTCTACTACTCGCTTGTTATGATAATCATTGCAAAGTCGCATTTTTCGCTTCCTCCTCTTCTCAGACACCCAAAACACCAGCAGTGGTGGTGACAACAGCAGCAGCAGCAGCAGCAGTTCAACACAGTAGTCCACAACAGTTGGTGTTTTGTTGTTGAATCGGTCTCCCTCTTTCTCTTTTCCCTCTTCTTCTCTTCCTATCCATCTTTTCTGTTCAGTAAGCAGAGTTTGTTCTATTTGATTAAACACTTTGATATGATATGAGGATGATGATGAGGAGGAGGAGACGACGACCACCACCACCGCTTATTTGTTTTGATGATCGCCGCCGCTGATCGCCAAACTTCCTCTTCTTTCTTTGTCAATCGCCGATGCTCATCTTTTATCTTCCTCATCCTCAGTTAATCTAAACAACCCCCTCTCCTTTCTTCTCTCCTCCTCTTTTAGATGGCGTCTCGTGGTATAGTCCGCAACAGCAAGTTTCGGCACGTCTTCGGGCAGGCGCTGAAGCGCGAGAACTGCTACGACAACATTCGCATCAGCAAGAACAGCTGGGACTCAAACTTCTGCGCGGTCAATCCGAAGTTCGTCGCCATCATCATCGAGGCGGCCGGCGGCGGCGCCTTCATCGTCCTCCCGCTCAGATCGGTAAGTCCAAAGGCTTTTGTTCAGTTTTTAAGCTTCCTAGGCTAGGTTTTGTGTTAGCTCAGCGTTTGATGATTTCTATTAGCTTTTCATAACGTTTTATTTCATTTATTCTCACAAAGTATGTCGCGTACTAAATTCTCTCTCTCCTTCTGAAGGATTCTTTCCTTAGAGGGAGAGCGACTTTTGATTAGATCAAGGCAGGCTGCTGCAATCGCTGGTGGTAGACATCATCGTCACCACCACCACCGCATTTGATGATTTTTGTCTTCTTTTTCTTCTTTGAATGCCATTGAATGCCGAGGTTACCAGCAGCAGCAGCATCAGCATCAGCAGCAGCCCTTCTCCTGAATCGTTTTGTCACCTTTTTCCCACACACACACACACACACACACACCAGTCTTAAAGGCTGTTTAAAAAGGCTGCTCTTTTTGCCTCTAAAAACTCTGAAAGTCTAGTGTGTAATATATCAGAGCAGCAGTAAGTCAGTCAGTCAGTGTGGCAGTGTGCCAGGCAGCCAATGCTGGTGATGTCCTCTTCTACGTCTACTTCTGCAAGGTTACTAGACACAAACAGAAGCTTGCCACACCGTGCTTGCACTAGAATATTTTTAGCCATTTTCAGTACAGAAGAAAGAGAAGGAGGAGAAGAAGAAAAATAAAGAAAAAGAAGACAAAAATTGCAAGTGATATTTGCAAATTGAAATGCTGCTGCTGCTGCAAGAATTGCTGGAGTCTCGGTGTGTGTTGCAACTCTCAGTTCCTTCTTTCAAGGACATTCGTGACGACGTGNGAGAAAGAGGAGAGGAGAAAAAGAAAAATAAAGAAAAAAAAGACAAAAATTGCAAGTGATATTTGCAAATTGAAATGCTGCTGCTGCTGCTGCTGCTGCTGCAAGAACTGCTGGAGTCTCGGTGTGTTGCAACTCTCAGTTCCTTCTTTCAAGGACATTCGTGACGACGTGATTGCCTTGCCCTGCCTTGCCTTGCCCTGTCTTTTCTCTTCCTATCTCCTAGTACGTGTGTGTGTGTGTGTGTGTGTTTACATTGCCCCCCACTGCCAGCCTATTATCATCATCTTCAGCAGTTGTTGTTGGTGGTGGTGGTAGATCTGTTGTTTGCATCAGTAATTTGCACTGCCAGGCAGTTGACACGCTCAGCACTTGAAAGTGTCAATCATTCTAATTCAAATATTTTTCCCTTTCAATCAGACCGGCCGCGTCGATGTGAACCACCCGCTGGTGGCCGGGCACAAGGGCCCGGTGCTGGACATTCAGTGGTGCCCCTTCAACGACAACGTCATCGCCAGCTCCAGCGAGGACGCCACGGTGAAGGTGTGGCANGGTGGTAGATCTGTTGTTTGCATCAGTAATTTGCACTGCCAGGCAGTTGACACGCTCAGCACTTGAAAGTGTCAATCATTCTAATTCAAATATTTTTCCCTTTCAATCAGACCGGCCGCGTCGATGTGAACCACCCGCTGGTGGCCGGGCACAAGGGCCCGGTGCTGGACATTCAGTGGTGCCCCTTCAACGACAACGTCATCGCCAGCTCCAGCGAGGACGCCACGGTGAAGGTGTGGCAGCTGCCCGACTACGGCGTCTCGCGGACGCTGACGGAGCCGGTGGTGGAGCTGCTCGGCCACCAGCGGCGGGTCGGCTTCCTCGCCTGGCACCCCTCCGCCAATAATGTGCTGCTCAGCGCGGGCAGCGACTGCAAGATCATCATCTGGAACGTCGGCACGGGGGAGATGCTCTCCGCCATCTCACTGCCCGACCTCATCTTCCACGTCAGCTGGTGCTGGAATGGCAGCCGCATCGTGGCCAGCTGCAAGGACAAGAAGATTCGCATCTACGACCCGAAGACGGGCGACCTGGAGTCGGTGAGTGCAGAGTTGGAGTTGGAGAGGGGTTTTGGAGATTTTTGACTAATTTTAATTTTGCTTTGTAGGAGGGCGACGGGCACGAGGGCGCCAAGCCGCAGCGGGCCATTTACCTGCGCAACGACCTCATCCTCACCACGGGCTTCTCGAGGATGAGCGAGCGGCAGTACTCGCTGCGCAGCGAGGCCGACCTGGGCAACCCGATCGTCCTCGAGACGCTGGACACCAGCAACGGCGTCCTCTTTCCCTTCTACGACCCGGACGTCAATCTGCTGTACCTGGTGGCCAAGGTAGGCTGAGCTGAGCTGCTTGAAAGTGTTTTGCTGCTATTTTAACATATCCATGTACCTCCATTAGGGCGACAGCAACATTCGCTACTTTGAGATCACCGACGAGGCGCCCTTCGTCCACTACATCAACACCTACCAGAGCAGCGAGCCGCAGCGAGGTATCGGCTTCATGCCGAAGCGGGGCTGTGATATCAACTCCAATGAGATTGCCCGCCTCTTCAAGCTCCACTCGAAGGGCTTCTGCGAGGTGATCTCCTTCACGGTGCCAAGAAAGGTAAACGCGCCTCTTGTGGAAAGTTGAGCCTTTGGAAGGTGTTTATTTGGTGGAAGTTCTAATGCTTTTTTTTGTTTCCCCTCCCAGTCTGAACTCTTTCAAGACGATCTCTACCCGGACACGGCCGGCGACGTGCCCGCACTGACCGCCGAGGAGTGGATCGGCGGCGAGGACGCGGAGCCTCTTTTGGT